AAATGAATGGAAAAAAATAAATCATAAAAAAAGTAATAGTTCCAGACGTTAATCTAGGACACGATGTTCCACGGAGTCATCTGTGAAACAAGAATATAATTGACACTTCATTTAATGTTCTTAGACAGTGTTCACATCCAGCAAGTTATGATTTAACTGCCCCAACTTCTGGGTGTATATTTCTTTCATAACCAATTGCTTCTCCTACATCATCAAAAACTTTGCACTTGAACAAATGGGAAAAATACTGTCCTTCAGAATACAGAAAAATAACCTGATAAAGCAGGTATTTTTAACCTAAAAACTGCCATAGTTTTCTCCTTCTGCATGATTATACTTTGATGTCCAACACAAATTATCTCAACAAAACAGAAATAAGAAAATTATTGCATACAGTTGGTAGATCAAACTCTGGTTTTCTCAAAGAACTGGTTGTCTTCTGCTCTACATTTCTTTTTTTTTCAAAAATGTATAGTGGAGAAATTTATAAGATATGTTCCTCAGAACAAAGGATAAGCATGCTTAATGTCTAATATAATAAAGTTAATATCTTCCTACCAATTGAAGGTGGGCATGTTTAGTTCACATTATAAATAATTCCAATTGTTCTCCCATAATAGAATCTACTATAGGTGAAGATGTCACTTGTTGTTCTTTATGTCATTGTGGAGTGGGTGATGGGAAAAAACCACACAAAACAGAGAAACAAAAAAGCCAGTGTTCTATCTGTCACCATTGCAGCAATGAAAGTATTTGTCTCTAATACAGAACTCTTGTTTCTTCTAATAGCACCAAAGAAACTGTGACAGCTAACTTGTTAGCTTGAAAATATCATAAAATATTTGGCTCTTCACAGATCTTGACACTTTTGTCAATAGAAGGGGAACTGAGAGAAACATGGTTTTCTGAAAAGGAAGGTTGAGCATCTAGTGGACTTATTAATGGAATCTGAGGGTAGTCCATGGGAATTAATAGAAACAACATAACCAAATCATATGCCAAACTGGGAAATAAATAATTCTCCCCTATCACCTCTTAATAAAGAAGAATGGGGAAGTACCTGGAGCTAAACACAGGGAAATAGGTGTGAAGACAGCTGTCCTAAATATGTCCTGGTTAATGTTCATCTGCTCCTGGCAGGAGGACATTATTACCAAACTGACAGCCAGATTCAGACTTGTCTGTTTGCAACAATTAGTATTTAGAATCACCCTGGATGGGCAGCAGGTTCAGGCTTCTTCCATACAATAATTTCTGAGATGCATACCACATGAATTTTTTTTTTTTTTCTTTTAAGTGGGGAAAGAAACTCAGTCTGGAAACTGAGCAGAAATCAAGCATATTGCTAGAATCTTGGTTCTTGGTTGATTGACTTGAGAGATGAAGGGACAGGTCAGAATGCTTGTTAAGAAAGAAAGGCAATGCTCAGGCCATGTTTAGTGCTTTCTTCTGTCCATCTTAGAAACCTTCACTCTTTCTCAGGATTGCTCTGACAGTGTGGGTTTGTTTGTTGTTTCATATAATCTTAAGATTGTTTTTACTATTTCTTTGAAAAATGTCATTGGAATCTTAACAGGGATTGAATTGAATCTATGCATGGCTTGGGTACTAAAATATTTTAATAATATTAAGTCTTCTAATCCATGGAAATGGAATAACTTTCCATTTATTTGTGTCTTCTTCAATTTCTTTAATGAATGTTATTCAACATAGGGCTCTTTTACCATCTTAGCTAAATTTATTCCTATATATTTTATTTTTATGATTCTATTGCAAATGTGATTATTTTCTTTATTTCTCTTTTAGATAATTTATTCTTAGTGTGTAGATACTATATCAAATTAAAAATTTTCTGCAAAAAAAAGTGAAAAGAAATGGTCAGTAGAATGAAAAGACAATCTTCAGAATTTGAAAAATATATGCAAGTCCTATATATATTAATATCCAAAATATAGAAAGAATTCATATATCTCAATAGAAAAATATAAATATAAAGCAATATAATCATAAACAATAATAATCTAATTTAAATAGTTTTCCAAAGAAGGGATACAAATACTTTAAAAAATTATCCTCAAAAAATTAATCATTAGCGAAATGCAAATTAAAACCACAATAATATATCACCTCACACTTGTTAGAATAGATATCATCAACAAGAGAAGAAATAGCAAATGATGTTCAGGATGTGGAGAAAGGCAACTTGTGTACCTACAGGTGAGGATGTAAGTTTATGCAAATACTATAGAAAAGAGTAGAGATATTCCTCAAAAAGTTAAAAATAGAACTGACATATGATCCAACAATTTCATGTCTGTGCATTTATCTGAAAGAAATAACATGACTATTTTGAAAAGATATCTGTACCCCATGTTTATTGCAGCATGATTTACAATAGTGAATAAGTAGAAATAATTTTTGCCCATTGGCATATAAATGGATAAAGAAAAGCTGGAAATGTGGTAAAATATATGTAATGGTATATTATGCAGAGAGAGTGAATGGGATTCTGACATTTACAGCAATATAGATGAATATAGAAGGCATTATACTGAGTGCAATAAGTCAGAGAAAGACAGATATTGTACAACCTCGTTTATATCTGAAATTTAAAAAAAGCAAAACAAACGAACAAAACAGAAACACATTGATAATTGACAGAGGCAGGAGTGAAGGCTGAAGAAATTGGATGAAGGTGATCAAAAGATACAAACTTTGAGTTATGAGATAAATAAGTACCCCCTCTCCTCCAGCCTTCAATCTTTCCCAGCATCTGGGTCTTTTCAAATGAAGTCAGTTCTTCAAATCAGGTAGCCAAAGTATTGGAGTTTCAGCTTCAACATCAGTCCTTGCAATGAATATTCAGGACTGATTTCCTTTAGGATGGACTGGTTGGATCTCCTTGCTCTCCAAAGAATTCTCTAGAGCCTTCTCCAACACCACAGTTCAAAAGCATCAATTCTTCAGCACTCAGTTTTCTTTATAGTCCAACTCTTACAGCCATACATGACTACTGGAAAAACCATAGCTTTTTTTTTTTTTTTTTTTAACCATAGCTTTAACTAGACGGACCTTTGTTGGCAAAGTAATGTCTCTGCTTTTTAATATGCTAAGTTGGTCATAGCTTTTCTTCCAAGGGGCAAGCATCTTTTAATTTCACGGCTACAGTCACCTTCTGCAGTGATTTTGGAACCCCCCCCCCAAAAAAAATAAAGTCTGTCACTGTTTCCACTGTTTTCCCATCTATTTGCTGTGAAGTGATGGGACCAGTTGCCATGATCTTAGTTTTCTGAATGTTGAGTTTTAAGCCAACTTTTTCACGCTACTCTTTCACTTTCATCAAGAGGCTCTATAATTCTTCTTTGCTTTTTGCCATAAGAGTGGTGTCATTTGATACCTGAGGTTATCAATATTTCTCCCAGAAATCTTGATTCCAGCTTCTGCTTCAACCAATACAGCATTTCTTATGATGTACTCTTCATATAAGTCAAATAAGCAGAGTGACAACATACAGCCTTGACATACTGGTTTCCCAATTAGGAACCAGTCTGTTGTTCCATGTCCAGTTCTAACTGTTGCTTCTTGACCTGCATACAGATTTCTCATGAGACAGGTCAGGTGGTATAGTGGAATGCACCTTAACTTTATAACATTTTATGTAAATTATTAATATATTCAAGTAAAACTGAAAGAAAATGAACTGAGTAGTATTTTTACTGCCCTGGGTGGGCATACCTGTTAAAATTCTTAGCCAAAACAGGGTGATGAATTGCATTAGAAAGAATAACAAATTACTTGTTAAAGTAGTAGATGTTGTATTGGAAAGAGGGTTGGATTATTTCTAGGCATGAAACAAATTTGGAATGAGGAAAGAGGAGATGAATGAGAAGATCTAGATTAGGTCTTTACTCGTGGCTTTCATTGCCAAGTGTCCTATAGAAAGCAATCCAATTACAATTCTTTTATTTCCCATTTCTAATCTGATGGTTATCTCACTTACTGACTCCCATTAAACATTGTTTAGTCCCTGGTTTTCATATGTTTTGTTGGTTCATTTGTTTTAAATCCTTTAACATAGCAAATAGCACAGTTGTTTATTAAAGACTTAAAAGATATGTGATTTAAAGTATGAAATAGTGTATTTAATTATAAATCTAAAAATGTATATAAGGACATATAAAATCTTCCAATGCACTAAACTACAATGAGTTTTATTGAAGTTCTATCACTGTATCTCTACATTATTTTTAGTATATGCCAGCTTTCTTAAATATTAATAGATTCATCACAGAACAATAGCAGCATGGAGAAAATAAGGACATCAATGTGTTAATGTGACTATGAGGTTTAGTTCTGGGTTCCCTGGATTTTAATGACTGCTGCTGCTGCTGCTAAGTCACTTCAGTCGTGTCCGACTTTATGCGACCCCGTAGACAGCAGCCCACCAGCTGGAATTCTCCAGGCAAGAACACTGGAGTGGGTTGCCATTTCCTTCTCCAATGCATGAAAGTGAAAAGTGAAAGTGAAGTCGCTCAGTGTGTCCTACTCTTTGTGACCCATGGACTGCAGCCCACCAGGCTTCTCCATCCATGGGATATTCCAGGCAAGAGTACTGGAGTTGGTGGCCATTGTCTTCTCCGAATTTTAATGGGGAGGGAAGTAAAAAAACAGTTTTCAAATTTCTCACTTCCTTCAGCTTAAAATTGTTCAGTGTTTGCACAGTCCAGATTTCTTCCCTTCAAAGGCATTCTGTTCTAGCCAGAGGCTATGGAAACCACAGACAATTTGATTTAATTTTGATAATTAGAAATCTCACATCTGACCTCACTGGCTCCTAAATATTCACATGACTCAGTTGTTTTACTAGACATGAACAATGAAAAACAAGATAAGTCTAAGTAAACATTTAAGTATTATTTTAATATTGTGTGAATAATAGCTAATATGGTACATTTAAATATTTATTATTTTTATTATCATTATTTTTGTACTGTTCTCAGCTATCAACCCCACCATAGAGCTGCCAGAACTTACACAGGATTGGGGGAGCAGACTCTCGGAGGGCACAAGTTCTGTGTGCACCACGACCCTGGAGAACTAAGCAATGACTCCACAAGAGACTGACCCAGACTTGCCCGTGAGCGTTCAGGAGTCTCTGATGGAAGGGTGGATTGATGATCGCCTGCTGCATGGTCAGGGGCACTGAGTGTGGCAGCAAATGTACGGGGCCTTTTGAAGGAGGTTTCATTATCTTCCTTACCTGCACCATAGTTTGGCCTCAGGTCAAACAACAGGGAGGAAGCATAGCCCCGCCCATCAAGAGAAAATTGGATTAAAGATTTACTGAGCATGGCCCTGCCCAACAGAACAAGACTCAGTTTCCCCCTCACTCAGTCTCTCCCATCAGGAAGCTTCTGTAAGCCTCTTATCCCTATGGATCAGAGGCAGACAGAATGAAAACCACAGTCACAGAAAACTAAGGAAACTGATCGCATGGACCTCAGCCTTGTCTAAGTCAATGAAATTATGAGCCATGCCATGTAGTGCCACCCAAGATGGACGGGTCACGGTGGAGACTTCTGACAAAATGTGGTCCACTGGAGAAGAGAAAGGGAAACCACTCAGTATTCTTGCCTTGAGAAGCCCATGAACAGTATGAAAAGGCAAAAAGATAGGACACTGAAAGTGAACTACCCAGGTCGGAGTGTACCCAATATGCTACAGGATGTGAGTGGAGAAATAACTCCAGAAAGATTGAAGAGATGGAGCCAAAGCAAAAACAACACCCGGTTGTGAATGTGACTGGTGATGGAAGTAAAGCCTGATGCTGTAAAGAGCAACATTGCATAGGAACCTAGAATGTTAGGTCCATGAATCAAGGCAAATTGGAAGTGGTCAAACAGGAGATGGCAAGAGTGAACATCAAGATTTTAGGAATCATGGAACTAAAATGGACTGGAATGGGGGAATTTAACACAGATGACCACTGTATCTACAACTGTGGGCAAGAATTCCTTAGAAGAAATGTAGTAGCAATCATAGTAAACAAGAATATGGAATGCAGTATGCAGATGCAATCTCAAAAATGGCAGAATGATCTCCGTTTGCTTCCAAGGCAAGCCATTTAATATCACAGTAATCCAAGTCTATGCCCCGACCAGTAATGCTGAAGGAATCGAAGAGCTCCAGTCTATGAAGACCTGCAAGACCTTCTAGAACTAACACCCCAAAAAGATGCCCTTTTCATTTTAAAGGACTGGAATGCAAAAGTAGAAAGTCAAGAATACCTGGAGTAGCAAGCAAATTTTGCTTTGGAATAAAAAATGAAGCAGGTCAAAGGCTAACAGAATTTTTCCAAGAGAATGCACTGGTCATAGCAAACATCCTCTCCCAAGAACACAAGAGAAGACTCCACACATGGACATCACCAGACAGTCAACACTGAAATCAGATTGGTTATATTTTTTGCAGCCACAGATGGAGAAGCTCTATACAGTCAGCAAAAACAAGACTGGGAGCTGACCATGGCTCAATTAATGAATCCTCATTGCAAAATTCAGACTTAAAATGAAGAAAGAAGATAAAACCAATAGACCATTCATCTATAACCTAACTCAAATCCCTTACGATTATACAGTAGAAGTGATGAACAGATTCATGGGGTTAGATTTGATCGACAGAATGCCTGAAGAACTATGGATGGAGGTTCATGACATTTTGCAGGAGGCAGTGATTAAGACCATTCCCAAGAAAAAGAAATGCAAAAAGTCAAAATGGTTGTCTGAGGAGGACTTAGAAATAGCAGAGAAAAGGAAAAGAAGGAAAAAAAAAAGTGAAAAGCAAAGGAGAAGAGGAAAGTTATACCCATTTGAATGAAGAGTTCTAAAGAATAGCAAGGAGAGATAAGAAAGCCTTCCTTAGTAGTCAATGCAAAGAAGCAGAGGAAGAGAATAGAATGGGAAACACTAGAGATCTCTTCAAGAAAGCTAGGGATACCAAGGGAATGTTTCTTGCTAAGATGGGCACAATAAAAGACAGAAGTAGTATGAACTTAACAGAAACAGAAGATAGTAAGAAGAGGTGACAAGAATACACAGAACTGTACAAAAAAGATCTTCACGACCCAGATAATCACGATGGTGTGATCACTCAGCTAGAGCCAGACATCGTGGGATGTGAAGTCAAGTGGGCCTCAGGAAGCATCACTATGAACAAAGTTAGTGGAGGTGATGGAATTCCAGTTGAGCTATTTCAAATCCTAAAAGATAATGCTGTGAAAGTGGTGCACTCAATATGCCAACAAATTTGGAAAACAGCAGTGGCCACAGGACTGAAAAAAGGTGAGTTTTCATTCCAATACCAAAGAAAGACAATAACAAAGAATGTTCAAACTACCACACAATTGCACTCATCTCACAGGCTAGCAAAATAATACTCAAAATTCTCCAAGCCAGACTTCAATAGCATGTGAACTGCAAACTTTCAGATGTTCAAGCTGGATATAGAAAAAGCAGAGGAAACAGAGATCAAATCACCAACATCCCTGGATCATCGAAAATGCAAGATAGTTCCAGAAAAAAACCATCTACTTCTGCTTTATTGAGTACTCCAAAGCCTTTGTCTGTGTGGATCCCAACAAACCATGGGAAATTCTTCAAGTGATGGGAATACCAGACCACCTGACCTGCCTCCTGAGAAACCTGTATCCAGGTCAAGAAGCAAGAGCTAGAACTGGACATGGAACAACAGACTTGTTCCAAACCAGGAAAGGAGTACGTCAAGGCTGTATATTGTCACCCTGCTTATTTAACTTATATGCAGAGTGCATCACGCGAAATGCCAGGCTGGATGAAGCACAAGCTGGAATGAAAATTGCTGAGAGAAATATCAATAACCTCAGATATGCAGATAACACAACCCTTATGGCAGAGAGTGAAAAAGAATTATAGAGCCTCTTGATGAAAGTGAAAGAGTAGCATGAAAAAGTTGGCTTAAAACTCAACATTAAGAAAACTAAGATCATGACATCTGGTCCCATCACTTCATGGCAAGTAGATGGGGAAACAGTGGAAACAGTGACAGACTTTAGTTTCTTGGTCTCCAGAATCACTGCAGATTGTGACTGCAGTCATGAAATTAAAAGGCACTTGCTCCTTGGAAGAAAAGCTGTGACCAATCTAGACAGCATATTAAAAAGCAGAGACATTACTTAACAACAATGGTCCATCTAGTGAAAGCTATGGCTTTTCCAGTAGTCATGTATGGATTGGAGAGTTGGACTATACAGAAAGCTGAGTGTGGAAGAAATGATGCTTTTGAACTGTGGTTTTGGAGAAACCTTGAGAGTCCTTTGGACTGCATAGAGATCTAACTAGTCAATCCTAAAGGAAATCAGTCCTGAATATTCATTGGAAGGGCTGATACTGAAGCTGAAAGTCCAATACTTTGGCCACCTGATGGGAGGAACTGACTCATTTTAAAAGACCCTGATGCTGGGAAAGATTAAAGGTGGGAGGAGAAGGGGATACCAGAGGATGAGATGGTTGGATGATATTACCATCTCTATGGACTCAAGTTTGAGTAAGCTCTGAGCATTGGTGACAGACAGGGAGGCCTGATGTGCTGTAGTCCATGGGGTGGCAAAGAGTTGGACATGACTATGTGACTGACAGCTGCCAACTATTCTAGAAATCCTTGGCTATTCTCCTGCCATGTAAAAAAGTGAAGCTGGGGCAGGACAACCTCTACATTTTCTGGAGGGCCCCACCCAAGCATTCATTGCACCTTATGAGATCAGCAGACTATTCCCTTAATTTTGTATTTAGGGAGGAGAACCATTGACTTGAATTTTGGGTCCATCAGCTCACGGAGAGCCCCCCACACACACACCATAATGCCCTGCCTCTCACAGAGCATTTGACATAGATATTTGAGATGTGGCATCTTCATTTCTTTCCTGCCCTTCAAGTTACTTTTAGACTTAACTCTGAAATCCATCAATCAGAAGAACATTATATTCTGCTGCTTTTTCACATTATTATTGGAACAGAAAAATCAGATGTAATGTCCAAGTATATAAACAGGTATGATTTTATTTTACTTTTTAAATTTTCTCTTAAGGAAAGTAAAGTCTTTTTTTTTTTATTGTTGTTGTCTATGCCCTTTGTATATGAATCCAATAACACTGTCCTTTCAGAAGATATTTATATTTTCTGATAAAATAATATTCTTCCATATGATGAAAAAATGAACATATTTGTGGTTCTCTCAAATATTACTGGTTCAAAATTGGGAAAGGAGTACAACAAAACTGTATATTGTCACTCTGCTTATTTAACATTTGGTGAAATGCCAGACTGGATGAATCACAAGCTGAAATCAAGATTCCTGGGAGAAATATCAACAACTTCAGATATGCACATGATACCACTGTAATCATAAAAAGTGAAGAGGAACTAAAGAGACTCTTGATTCGGTTGAAAGAGGAGAGTAAAAAAACTGGCTTGAAACTCAACAGTCGAAAAGTCAAAAATCATGGCATCCAGTCCCATTATTTCATGGCAAATAGAAGGGGAAAAAGTGGAAGCAGTGACAGATTTTATCTTCTTGGGCTCCAAAATCACTGCAGATGATAACCACATCTATGAAATTAAAAGATGTTTGCTCCATGAAAAGAAAACTATGAAAAACCTAGACAGGATGTTAAAAAGCAGAGATATCACTTTGCTGACAAAAGTCTGTCTAGTCAAAGCTCTGGTTTTTCCAATAGACATGTATGGATGTGAGAGTTGGACCATAAAGAAGGCTGAATACCGAAGAATTGATGCTTTTGAACTGTGGTGTTGGATAAGACTGTTGAGAGTCTTTGGACAGCAAGGAGATCAAACCAGTCATTCCTAAAGGAAATGGACCCAGAATATTCATTGGAATAACTTATGCTGAAATGGAAACTTCAATACTTTGGCCATCTGATGTGAAGAGCTGACTCACTGGAAAAAACCTTGATGTTGGGGAAGACTGAAGGCAAAGGGAGAAGCCTATGGCAGAAAATGAGATGATTAGAGAGCATCACGGACTCAGTGGACAAGAATAGCAAATTTAGGGCGGTAGCGCAGGACAGAGGAGCCTAGTGTGCTGAATCCATAGTGTCACGTAGAATCAGACACCACTTAGTGCCTGCATAACAAGTAATATCACATTAACTTGTATATTGACAAGAGCCATAGACTTCATAGCAAACATAGAATTGAGACGTATCCTTGGATTTTAAAAACATAGTTCTCTCTTTAACTCTGTGTGCATGAACATACACATGTGTATGCATAAATTTAAAGAGCTGGAGAAAAAAAAACAACAACACTCCCACTCTAGGCATGCTCTGCTAACCTCTTACAGGTACTGTGTTGGTGTTTTTCATTATTCATTTGAACATGGGTTATCTTCCCTGTCAGCACAGCCTTTAAAACTGCACTGAATTTTCACATGCTGGCACTGACATATGCACCTCAAAATGTCCAATAACAGGGACATGTGCAGAAAAGCTTCAAGGAGAGCACATAAAGAAGGGTGAATGGTTCTTATATTGCTAGTTTCAGAAGAGAAGAATGTAATGAACACAGATGATCCAAATGTTAAAGAGTCAAGGAATTTCTAGTACAAGTTTCTAGAGGAGCTGAACCATGCAACAGGGTATCGTACTTCAGGACATAAAGCCCAGCACTGGATAAGGCAGGTGGGAGAAATTTGGGTGGGGCCCTCCAAAAAATTTAGAGGTTGCCCCTGCCCTACAAATAGCCAACTTAACTTTTTTATTTTCCTGGGGAATAGGCATGGGTTTTTAGTACAGTTTGGCAGCTGATAACAGTAGAAAAATATTCATTTTCATAAGTCACCTTGGATTTTTTTCAGCATCAGTGTTTTCTGCAATCCTATGAAATCCTAATGCTGATTCCTACAGCAGTTATGCAGGTATCTAGGATGAATTTCTACCAAGGGAGGAAGTTATTGAGTGATATTAGACATACATCACTTTTCCTTAATTTCTCAAAAAATGCATATACTAGTCCTTTAGTGAATGTATTTGCAGTGTTAATAATAAAAGTAATGTAAAAATAAGGTTAATAGGATGTGATTTTTAAGGTGTGTTGTTTTATAAAAGGAAGTATATTCAAACAGGGGGCTGCTATTTTATACTCCCTTTGATTGAAAATGGTCACTCACTAACTTATACTAACTTATACTCACTAACTTATCTGTTCCTAGGTTTCTTCTGATATCAAACTGAAGTCACAAGGACACCATTTCACTGGCCAATGAGAACTCTGTTCTATTAGCTGTATATGCTTACATGTGGTTAATTACTGACTTCTTATTTCCAGTAGTCTCAATTTGGGAAAGTTTAAGATAAACTTTACTGAGAAAATAAAGATTGACTTTGATATTCAAGCTTCTTTGTCTAACAGTATTATCCTAAGTAAACATATAAATGCACAAATATGTGTTGGGAACAACTATATAATGAGAGAGTTGAAAATATATTCACCAAAATGTTAAGACTTGGTAATAGAATTATAGAAAAATTTTAAAAGTTCTCCATAACATATGTAATGCACTATTAGAATTATAATAAGAATAGATTAATATCATAATAAAAATCATTAAAACTATTTTGACTTTTCAAAGCCAAAAAATAAAGAAAATAAAAGCTAAACTAAGTATAAAAAGATGTGTTAAAAATTATAAAATTATTATATTTATAGTCAAAGACATCAAAATTTCTTGTCAGGTTGCACTAATACTCACAGATATTGATGGCAATTCCACAGTGTTTCTGAAACCATTTAAGCACGTGTACATAGATGAATTGAAATTGTGTATTGTAATGTGTTTTTTAACATTCAAAACTTGGGAAACAGGGCACTGTTCTCTTTCTTACTTGCCATGGGGGATCCTGTTCTGTCCTTTTAAGCATCTCTGCGGTGACCAGTCCATTTCCTCCCCAAGTCCAGCACAATTCCAGGGCTCCTAGCCTTTCCTGATTACTCCTGCTCTTATTATCTTTGGAGAGAAACTTTCATAAATACCCCTAAAGAGTCCAAGTTTGAACTTCGTGCCATGTGTGACTACGGTTTCTGATGTGTCTAAGAACTCAGAAAGTCTTGAGCCCAAACGAGTGAAACAAGAACTCAGAAGGAGGTTTCCACAAGGACTGGAACTTTCTAGAACAGCAGGGACAGACCTTGGATATAAGAGTCCAAAGTGAGGATCAGTTATGCGTATATTTAATCATAATTGTCAACCATTTTTCAGAGTCAGGAGAACACACACTCGCTAAGCAAAATTTGAAGGGAACATTGTTTCTGCTCTTTGGACCCATTGGGTAATTACTAAACATTTTTAAAAACTCTAACTTTCTACTTTGACTTGGATCCCAGGTAGAATCAGCTGGTGCTCATCAAGCAATAAATGTGAGAAAGAAAGGGTGGTGTGACGATCTGAAGTAACTGCTTTGATTGGGAGCGCCCCCTAGCAGAGCTCGGAGACACCACACCGGGGAATGCTGAAGAAGGGCTTCAGAGCAGAGCAGGCACTTGTCAGTCAAACATTCTGCAGCCATCCCAGAGAAACTTGTCCTCTTGGCCATCCATGGAGGGCAACAGTAAGCCTCCTGTTTATTCTGGCTCATTAATCTGGAGGATTGCAAGTGGAAAACGCTCCCAATGTCACTTGTTTAGAGGAAATGTCAGTGTCATGGATGGTTGTCAAACCCATTCCTTTGTTTTAAATGATCAAAATTTAAACTTTGGTGGTTTGTCCTACACTGAGTTAAAAAAAAAAAAGAAAGAAAGAAAATATACAATGTCTAAACTATACAAAGAAGCTTCATTTTTTAAATCCAATGTTTAATAACATTTGGTCTTTAGATTTTGGCTTTCTCTACCATTTTAATATGCTTATCTCAGTAGCCTAATAAAATGTCTTTGGAAGTTCCTTACCTGTGTTACCTATTTACATTTCAGTATTATCTTCACATTTCACATGTGCAAATTAGAACAGGTGCAAAATTGTGGATTAAAATGTCAAATGGGCTATTGATAATATCCTATATGCTGCATTGTCTGGGCTAATATCTTAATTACTTATGCAAAATAAAGTTCTGAAGTATACAACAGTACCCTAAGTGCTTCTTTAGCTTTAGTGTGTCTGAGAACAAAAAGGGAACATATTTTCTGGGCAGCATTCTGAGATACTCAACTGGCAAATCTAGAAGAAGACCCTACAATCTGCAATTTTATCAGCACTTTTAGGTGATTCTAAGGCGGGAATTCCAAAACCAAAATCTGAGAAATGTTGCTCTATAGATTGAAACTTGATTCCTTTCTTGAAGGCATCCACAAAGAATTTTTATTGAAATGACATGTAAAGAGGCATTCTTTCTTCATTGATTGTATCTCCTTTTTCTTTAGGTTCATGTTAGAGCAAAGCATTGTGTGGGACCCTGGAAGCAACAGAAGAATGTCTTAACTATCTAAACAATTCTGGTAATTTATACATTAGTGCAGGATCTCAGGTTTTGTACATTGAGTTATAAAATCAATGCCATAGAAATTTAGACATTGGTTAATTTCATTTAATTAGGAAATAATGGTTCTGTGAAAGAGCAAATCTTCATCCAGGAAGATTGAATTAAATTTTGTGGATGAGATAAAGTAGATGAAGAAGAATGCAGAGACTGAAATTTCACAGCGGGTGTGGAAATTGGATGTTGTCAGTTGTGTCAAAATTATATTTAGAGAGTGGGCTTAACTGTCATTTATGACAAGTGTCTAAAAGAACTTTGAATGCAAAATTCAAGAATATACAGTTTTTAGAAATTTACAACTTATAGAAAATGTGGAAATATTAGATATTTCTTGGTAGGAGGGTAAAAGATTTCATGTTTATTTTAGAAGATTTCTCATGGGTGTGTATGATGGATTAGAAACTGGAAAGACTAAATATGGGGATATAAAAGGAAATTGGGATTCAGTTCAGAAGCATAATTGAGGTATGTGACAGACTGAATGTGAAAAACAACAAAATTTGGGGAATAGAATATCTTCCTTAGCTTCTATCTTAAGTTTTAAAAAGATGTATATGCCATCAATCTAGATAAGGGAGTATTAGGGGAAGATGAAAGTATGATTATAAACATAATGGGGCATGCTGCCTTAAAAATGAAAAAAAAATCTTCATAGCCATCTTTCTATTTTTCTTTATATGGTATGTGTTTAAGTGTGGACACACAATTGACCTCTATTGAAGATGATACCATGTAAAGAATACTGAAAAACTATACCTCAAAATCATCACATCAAATATTTGTCTCAGCAAAAACTAAAGAAATGAAAACTAATAGACATAGTTATTGTGTATATCTCTTTTAGGTAGTTTATCATAATTAAAAAAACACAAATTACTTATGCATACAGTTATAACATCATAGTTTCCCATTTTCTGAGAAATAGAAAGATGGCTATGAATGTATTTTTTTCATTTTGAAGTTTCTTATATTGCTGTGACTGTGATGTCAATAATAAGATAGCTTCTGGTGCTTTTAATGTGAAAATGGAATTGCTATTGAACGCTAAACAAGGGATGCTGGTAATTTTATGACAATTATGTTTTAGCTTTCCATACCAAAGCTATGGTTATCAAATCTCATGCTTGACAACTTTGGCTGATTGTCACCGGGAGAAGCATCCTGTCACCAACAGCATGATTATAGAGCAATATTCACCTTCCTTTGTAGGGTAGGGTAAATCATTGTAACTGATTTATATAACTGTAACTGTAACTGTAACATAGTGCAGCTATGGGCTGATGGGCTGATGTAGCTTATCAAGTCTTGTGCTGAGATGTATTTGCATTATATTCCATTTAAATGCCATGTATTATAATTCAGTTATATTTCCATCTTTAAGGAAATGAGCTTGATACTCACATCTGCTAGAGAGTATATGTGGCTTCTGAGAATAGAAAAGAAAGAAGTACTTTTGTATGCCATTTCACATTTCCTTGGAGTCAGACTTGCTCTCATATACATAGGTTTCTAAGAAAAACATCTTCTATTTATTACTTCCTTCTCATTTTTTATACCAATAGATTTCTTAAACCCACCTCACTGGAGGAAAAAAGACCTTTCTGCCATCCAAAAAAATGGTTTAAATCCTTCAGAAACACTGATTATATATGAAAGTTGTGTAGGTATTGTGCATGCTAGTTGGCTTCAATAGTGTCTGACTCTTTGTGACCCTATAAGTGGTAACTTCACTGTCCATGAGATTTCCCAGGTAAGAATACTGGGGTAGGTTTCCATGTCCTCCTCTAGGGGATCTTCCTGACTAGGTATCAAACCCATGTCTCATGTCTCCTGCATTGGCAGGCAGATTCTTTACCACTAGTGCCACCTTGGAAATCCATGTTGGTATCAACACCCTACAACTCATAGGTTACCACGGAATCTATTTTCATACTATAACAAGATAAATCATACAAGAAAAAATTTACCAAGCTTAGTCTGCATTGTAAATGTTCCCATAAGCTCTGTGTTTATCCTTGTGATAACAGAGTATGAAAATTAGCACTATGCCTGAACAAAACAGGGATTTTTGTGTTCAGTTTTAAAGGTGATTTTGTCAGAGAGGATTCAACTTGAGAGTAAAAGGAAGATTGCTTAATACATACAGACTGGCCTCAGCCTTTAATTTTTTTTTAATAGATCTATATAGGTGCAAAAACATATCTAATCTTACTACACTTGTATTTCAGATGTTAGAGGTAAAATGAAGGATAGACACATAATGGAAAGCTTACTTGAAATTCTTCAATGCTTTTTGTTGTTGTTCAGTCTCTCAGTAGTGTCCAACTCTTTGTGATCCCATGGACTGTAGCACACTAGGCTTCCCTTTTCTTCACCGTCACCCAGAGCTTGCTCAATTTCATGTCCATTGAGTTGGTGATACCATCCAAGCATAACAAAAACCTTACTTGAAATGCTTCAATATCTAAACTAAAATACTGAGGTTCCTCTGCTGCTTCTTGCTTTTCTTCTATAGATTAGTTTATCATGAGCTCAGGTGTATCCAAGGTGGAAAGCAAAGAAGACCAATCAATGGATATTAGCAGCCATTATAAAGTGGCAGCTCTTATCCTAGGCACCTTAAAATGAAGGAACGACCATATTCAGCCGGTACTCTTTGTATTCTTTGACTAAAGCAGTGGAGAGTAATTATCAGACAGCAGAAAGAAACTAACTTTAG